ATGTGGCCAACAGGTGGAGAGGCCAAGCTATAAAAGCACTCTAAACCCCAAAACAGTAACCCGAAAACACTCGGATAATTTACCATGAGAAGCCCCATGCCTTGAATCTCCAGTTTGAGGAGCATTCCCAGCGGGTTCACGTACCATTATAGCAGGAGGCTTTTTGTAGACGTTTGTGCGCCGAAAGTACAGACTATACTTCTACTTGGACCCTTTGGGATTAAAACCCTAAGCCCTAAACTTTAGGCCCTAAACCCTATAAACTTTCAAGCCCTAAACCCTAAACCCCAAAATCCTAAACCCTAAACCCTAAATCCTAAACCCTGTAAACCTTCAAGCCCTAAACCCTATGAAAGCCTTGCAGGACCGAGCCGAGATTGGAAGCGGCACGGGGGTGGTGGCATGCGAGAGTGCTGGCCTCGAGAGGGCGAAGCTTTCGTTTGAGGAGCTTGTAGGGGTTTTTAGGTTAGGGCTTCGGGGTGGCTTCGGGGTTTTGGATGTTGGGTTTAGGGTTTTGGGTTGAGGAGTTTTAGGGTTTTTAGGTTAGGGCTTAGGGTTCATAGCGTTTGGCTTTATGGTTATGGGGTTTAAGCGTTTGCGGGTTCAGAGTGTATAGGATTTAGAGTGTGCGTCTTGGATAGGGGGGGGCTACATGAGATTACGGGGCTCCTACACCCTGGATTGTACTTTTAAACTAGATGGCCCTATCCATGAAACAGGTTAGCAGACCCAATGTGCTACGCTCCAAGGCTTGGTATTGTGTCTGTCTCTGTGTGTGTGTGTGTCTGTCGTTCAAGGTCCTTTGAGGGCTTCGGCCTGTTTTGACGACTTCAGGGCTACTCAAGCTGTCCTGTGTCAGGGTTTGCAGAAAGATGTCTTGTTTGAGTTAGCTGCTTCAGGTTTCTCCTACGGCAATGCAGTTGGGAGGATTCGAACCGTTTTGCATTCAGGCTGGTCTGATGCCAGAGAACCTCATGACAGCAAGCATAAGAACCCACAGAAGCCTCACATAAGTTCGCAGACACTCGCAAATTCCGAAGTGCTGCACTGCCTTAGCACTTCAATTAGGCTTCATAGTTTCGGGCTTCTGGTGAACCCTGAGCTGTTACTTTCTGTTGACATGTTCTTCAAATACACGTTTATGTTTTTTCTCCCTGGGCTACTTCAAAGCCCAGGTTTTCGGACGGCCCATGCGCACTGTCTCTTGTCATGAACCCTAAACCCTAAACCTTGTTACCCCAGCCAGCAACGTAGCCCCAAGCCCCCAACCTCTGCAAACCCCAAATATCTTAGTACTAGGCTCTCTAATTGAAGGGTCCAAGTACCTCATAAGCACTATCCTAAACCCGAGTACCGAATGTCCTTTGAACTTTTCGGGTAGTTAGGTCTACTAGTACGGGTTATAAATGTAGTTGGTACTTGGAACTCCACTTATAAATAGCCATGAACCTCCAAGTAGTCCTAGCACCGCCTCCTTTAAACTCCGAGGCCGCGCATCTGCGTCACCTGCCGTGCCCCAAGCGAGCCCTTTCTGGGAACGTCCTAGGTCAGAATCGGTACAAGTAGGGTTTAGGGGTATGTTATACTATAGCTAGACTAAGGACCCCTGAGGAATAGCATATCAATCCTTATAAATCTTGAATCCCAGACCTACGTGAGTTCCAGGTATGCGGTCGAAAAAGCGGAGCCCAAACGCCAAGCAAAAAATCGCAGCTAGGCATCCGCTGTGCGGCTTGAAATCTGAGCCAAACAGCAAACAAAGAGAAAAATCAGTGCACCTCCTACATACATTCTCGGCACAAACGAGGACGCAGTCGCACGAATCTCAGCAAATCTAGAACTTCTTTTGCGGACATGTTGTCCGTAACACTTGTCCAGGGGAAGAGCTCTTGGTACACAGCCTTCTGCTGCAGGACGCAGTTACTGCACAAAACACCGCCCGCGCTTTAAAATCCGGCACAAAATCTTAAACCCAGGAAAAGACGCCCAGATTGATAATTGATATGTCTTGAGGAAGAAATCTTGTGAAAACGTCCTTTCCGAAATAAGACCACACGTCTGCTCTCGCTCTCTCAATAGGTAAAATGCGATAAACACAAGTTACTAAACGTGTCTTCTCCGACAGATAGAAGAGGAAAGCCTTATGTCTTCTTTATGTAGAGAATACAAGCTAAAGAGAACTAAACTCTAAGTAGAAACCCCCTAAACCTTAGACCCTAATTTTCAGACTCCTTCACTCAGGTCCCCAGCGCGGCGCGGTCACCGTCCCCAAATTCTCAGAGGCCGGCTTTGGTTCGGAGATCAAAAATTAGTGTTCAGGGTTTAGGGTCCTAAGCCCGAAACCCTAAATCCTAAACCCTAAACCCCTAAACCCCAAACCCTAAATCCTAAACCCTACAACCCTAAACTCTAAATGTTCCTTCTCCACCATGCTCAGAGTTCAAAGATGGGCACTAGAACTGTTCTAGAGGGTGTCGAGCTGCAGGTTTTGGGATTTTTGTTCCCTTGGAGGTTCATGGGCCGTTGTACCTGGGGTTACCCAATCTGAGTTATTACAATAGGTGCACCACTGATACCACCACTTTTTTCTACCCTGGGTAGTTTTCTAAACTACCGTAGAGTCCCTTGTAAGGTCCTTTTATAATTGTGCCAGTACCGTACTATATTGGTGACCCAAAAAGGGACCCTAGAGAACTACCCAAGTAGGATTTAGGGTTTGGGAGCGGGGTTCTTGCACCCCTACACCCCTAAACCCCTAA